GCCCCGGGAAGGGCACTTCAATCGAAAAAAATGTGCACCGCACGGGGGGGGTCAACAATACTTATTCTTCCGAATTGAGAATTCAACATCAACAACAACAGCAGCAGCAACAACAGCAACAACAACAACAGCAACTGCAACAGCAGCAGCACCATCACCATCACCATCACCAACAACAGCAACAACAACAACAGCAACATAACACAGCAACAGCAGCATCAACAACAGCAGCAACAGCAACAACAACAGTCAGTATACCCTCATGCGCGATGTTCCCTCACGAAGCATGCGACCATCATGATAACCACCCACATCATGGGGGACTATTGTTCTATAGCGGGGCCCGTTATTCCCATTCACAAATATCCCGCCCAATGGGGTCTTGCAAACACCTCCTCCAAGGAATTCCAACACATCCCTTCTCGAAAACACATGCCCGCGCCTTGCTGCGCCGATGCGAGACCGCCACTGGAACCTCAGCGAGGGGTAAACCACAAAGAAGTATCGAACGACAGGATTGCCTTGGTGGGGATGGGGGCTGTCGGCGGTGAGGCAAGGACCTGGCCCTGAATTAAAAAGGTGGGGAAGTCTCGGGCACGGCTGCTGTTGTTGCTGGGGCGGCGCCGATGCTGAAGAGAGTAGGGCGCTAGTCCAGCGTAAAACAAAACAACGAAGTCTCGAGCGGGAACGCTGGTTTTGTTGGGGCGGCGGTTTTCGGCGGCGAGGAAGAACACCGCCTTGAGTAAGAAAGGAAGAAGCATCGAGCGGGAACCGTGGTGTTGTCTGGACGGGGGCTGTCGGCGGCGAGGAAAGGCACCGCTTTCAGAAAGAAGAGAAGAAGCCTCGAGCGGGAGCGTTGTTCTTGCTGGGGGCGGCGCCAGTCCAGCGTAAAGCGGAAGGAAGTCTCGGGCGGGAGCGCTGGTTTTGTCGGGGCGGCGGTTTTCGGCGGCGAGGAGGAGCACCGCCTTGAATAAGAAATGAGGAAGCATCGAGCGGTAAATGTGGTTTTGTCGGGACGGGGGTTGTCGGCGGCGAGAAACAGCACCGTTTTCAGGAAGAAGAGAAGAAGCCTCGAGCGGGAGCGTTGTTCTTGCTGGGAGCGGCGCCGATTCAAAAAAGTGCAGGGCGCCAGTCCAGCGTAAAGCAGAAGGAAGTCTCGGGCGGGAGCGCTGGTTTTGTCGGGGCGGCGGTTTTCGGCGGCGAAGAGGAGCACCGCCTTGAGTAGAAAAGGGAGGAAGCCCCTCGAGCGGGAGCGTTGTTTTTGCTGGGGGCGGCGCCGATGAGAGAAAGACTCGCGCGCCAGTCCAAGGCAAAACGGAAGGAAGTCTCGAGCGGGAGCGCTGGTTTTGTTAGGACGGCGGCTTTCGGGGGCGAGCAAAAACACCAGCCCTGAGTAAAAAAGGAGGAAGTCTTGAGCGGGAGCGTTGTTGTTGTTGTTGTTGTTGTTGGGGGGGGGGTTTTGGCGGTCCCCCAAACCGCTCGAGCGTGAGCCTCATGTTCGGTGAAAATGTAGCCGGCGCCTCGGCGAGAGCACCAGGGCGCCTATAAGGGGTCCAACAATCATAACTGTCTAGAAATTAAGACTCAACAACGTTAACAACAACAGCAACACGCATAATCCCCACTACGGATCCCCACTTCAACCACGCACCTAAGGACAATGAACGACCGCTCGGCCCCCTCACTCTGATATGGGCTCCCGCTCACAACATATGGAAACAGTACCGTGATCCGCCTCGGAAAACCATGGAATTACATGCGAAAAGAACTTGCGTTCTAGAAGCTTGGGGCGCCAATGAAGTTCTATCGAATGCCGAAAGGAGCTCAGGTAAAATCTGACACGGGTCTCATTTGGATCCCACCGCGATCACACTAGGATCGTCTTGGAGGGAGATGGGTAGACGGGGGGCGCCCGGTGACGGTGAAATGCTTCCAGGGTGCCAGATGCCACATCTTTTCGCTGGATGAATGCAGGGTTCTTCGATGTTCCCCGGGGTTACACAGACGGAGGGCGGCGGGCGGGCGCAGCAATTAGTCTGAATGGAAACCTGCGGGTGGCTTTTGGAAAGTATTGAAACCCGACTGGTCTCCCATTGAGATCTCGCTGGGATCCGAGTCGGATCCTGCAGGAAGCCTGCAGGAACATATTTTGGCTGACGCCTCTTTTCTGGCTGCCGCTCTGGCGCCCTGTGGGAATGCGAAACTCGACCGCTCTTTGGTCTGACTCCATGCCCAACAACTGGCACAGCTGGCAAAATCACATGTCCGACTTGGTACGAGATTCCACTCATAGGTAACCGGCCTATTTCTGCAAAGTCTGCCCAGGAAGAATCCAAAGTTTGTCCGCTCTGACAACAACCAAGATGCGACCCAAAGCCAATCCGTGATGGCTGCCGGCGTCATTAGCCACCTTCCGCGCGCAGCGCGATGTCGAATTGGGTTCGGCCCTGAGATGTCGCTTTCGTTATCCCAGCTACATGGCCCGACCTCAGCATCGAAATCCCCAGCATTTAGACGTTTCGGCCCTTAACCCCCGTCCAGCTGCAATACGCAATCAAACCTCGAATGTGGAGCTTCCACATGTCGGTCGACCAGTCTTGACGACAGCATATACACGCCGCAGAAGGAAAAAAATGATGCAACACCAAGCCTTCGACTGCAATTCGACCACACGCTGACTGGAAGGATTCGTGACTGCATGTCGTATGCGCCCAACTGCAAACTGTACGATTTCCCTTGCTCCCCCCGCTCCCGAAACACATGCGGGCACCTTCTGTGGTGAGTACCTACTTGTTCTCCTCGCGCCAAAATTCCCATCGACACTACATGTCCCAGCTTCGACACGCAATTCTTTGCACAACGCCTTAGGCATGTCACTACTCATCATGCAACAATGAGACAAATGTCACAACCACCAAACGAGCCTGCTGATGCTGATTCCCCTGTCTGGATCGGCGATGCAACGGCGCCATCGGCGTCGGAATGCTATGGCTCCACATCGAGCCGCATCGTCGATGCATCATCAATCCAGGGTGACCTTTCGACCCCAGCTGCTCGGACCACATTTGAGAGGCCCAGACCATGGTAGTCGTCCCTGCCCCGCCCCCCCCTTTGTCACGTCACGATTCGGCCCTGGCAACATGGGAATGAGCCCTTGTCACGTCACGTCATGTGGAATGAACCATCTCTCAGCATTCACAGGCGGCGCCGGCGCGAATCGTGACGTGACCGATCCCATCCTCCCCTCCTCCCCACCCCTCTGGCCACGACCGTTCTCGCCAGGGGATGAAAAGACTATCTCTAAACCCAGACCCCTGGCGTCATGACTTTTAATCGCATGGCCCCCCCAGGACCAATTCTTCATCCTGAGTCGCGTGGTGATGGTCCCGCGGCCCGGCGAGGGCCCTCCCCGAGGCGGAACGCTGCCAAAACACTGCCGTCGTGATTGTTGCCATGACTTGGAGAGGGCCACCGATCAACGCTGGAACCCCGACTCCCCCGGGGCAAGGCCTACGGCGCGGCTGCCGCGGCGGCGGTCGAGGCGCCGGGCTCGGGGTCAGGCAGTCCGGCCGCGGCGCGGCGCGCCGGCTCGTTGGCCTCTGGGCGACGCGGTCGCGCACGACGACGGCGAGCCTGTCCCCGTCCCCACTGGGTCGGGCCCACCCTCAGCGCCGAGGAGGGGTTTTCTGCCGACACTTCTTCTTCTTCTTCTTCTTCTTCTCGCTCCTCCTCCTCCTCCTCCTCCTCCTCCTCCTCCTCCTCCTCATCATCATCATCATCATCATCATCATCATCATCATCATCATCATCATCATCATTCTCATAAGCATCAGCATCATCAGCAGCATCAGCAGCATCATCATCAGCATTGTCATTAGCATCATCGTCATCATCATCATCATCATCAGCATCAGCATCAGCATCAGCATCATCACCAGCATCATCATCATCAGCATCATCGTCATCATCAGCAGCAGCATCGTCATCATCAGCAGCAGCATCAGCATCAGCATCAGCATCATCAGCATCATCATCAGCATGATCATCATCAGCATCATCATCATACTCATCATACTCATCATCATCATCATCATCATCATCATCATCATCATCATCATCATCAGCATCTTCATCATCATCATCATGATCATGCTCATGCTCATGATCATGGTCCTCGTCCTAGATCTGTGGGTCCCCCCGTTCATCGTTCTCCTCATTATCCTCCTTATCCGTTTCTCCTTCTTCAATCTCCCTCCTGAGTCGGGGAACTCTCATGGGCCTCGTCTCTGATGACCTGTCCGAGATATGCGAAGCGTCAAGCATCACCGCCAAGAGGCGCACACGTATCGGAGGAGGTTTCGTGGCAGCTCTGCCTGTCGAAGGCGGCGTTGAAAGCACATGGGCTTTGCCAGGGCTCCCCTGGCCACCCGCATCCCGCCAGGACGCCCAGAGCCCAGACTTCCCCCTGCCTCCCGCAAAAAAACTTACATTGACGGCGAGCGCGGGGGGGAAGTCAGAGGGGGCGGGCCCTCTCGGAAGGCTCGGAAGGTGGCCTCGGGCCCTATGAGAAGCGGTCTACGCCTTCCCCGATGAACCAAAAGAGGACCCCTAACCCTTTGGGAGGGGACTGAAGCTAGGAGGAACAAAAACATTAGGGATGGGGGGTATGGTTCTGCAGATGTATCGAACCAAACCGCCCAGAATCACTATCCCTAATACAGTAATACAAAGACGGGGACCTGCGTGAGTCCACGTCCTCACTGTGCTTTTAGGGTCCAGGGTCATCCTCGATGATTCCCCAAACAAGTATACAGAGCACTTCTCACAAGGCCAGAGGGCTTCTGCGAAAACCCGCCGCCCCCCGAAGAGGGCCTGCCCCCCCTCGCTTTCCCCCCCCCGCGCACGCCGCCGGGAAGAGGACGAGGGCGGCGGGGAGCGGGGGAAGCGGCGGGGAGGAGCGAGGGGGAGCGAGGACCACCGCGCCGAGGCTCGGCGTCGAGGCAACTGGCCTGCCGTGGAGCGCGAGAGCCGGGGTGGGTGTGGGCACCTGCTCACGTTCTCTGCCTCGTCGCTGAGCGCGAGGCCGCGACGTCCGGCAACAAGAAACTGTGCGTTTGTGCGCCTGTCGGCGACCGCGCCTGCGGCACGTCCTGGGAGTGCCCCGAGGGCCCACAGAAATGCAGGGCTCTGACTACCAGTCTGCCACGGGGCCTGCCGGAGAGCCTTCCTCAAGCTCCCGGGGCCTGCCGGGGAGGAAGCTTCCGGAGGCCAAACCCGCGGAACACGGCCCCGAGAGACCCCTGCGGGAGCTCCGAAGCGCTCAAGAACGTAAGGGCCACAAGAGACTCCAGGACACCCACGAGAGCCTCCAGGACGCTCTCGAATAGGCCTGGAAAGCCCAAACGTGCAGGGCTCTATCGTTCGACAAGTCTCGCCTGTTCGGACTAAGTTGCCACAGAGGGCCCCCAAGAAACAAGCATAATGCTACGAGGTGATACCCAAAAGGCCTTCAAGAGGGCTTCAAGAGGCCTCCAAGACGGCCTACCGAGAAGTCCAAGACAGCCTGAGGGCCCCAGACATCGCCAAAACAGCTCAAGAGAGCCTCGAAATGGGCCCAAAGACCATACGAGACGGCTCGAATAGGGCCCAAGATGGCCTCCAAGGCACCCCAGGGACTTCTGGCGGGATGGGCCGCAGGCCATCAAACACCGCTAGCACAGATGCTTGTCGCTGGCGCGCTTAGCGCCCATCCACCCTCATCGGCTATGTGTGCAAGGTGCTGGCTCCGCCAGCGTGGGCTCGAGGAAGGGAAAGAGACTGGAGTGGGAAGAGGAGGGAAGAAGAAGGCCCACTTCCGCCAGCCCCTGCTCCTGATCCTCTTCGTCCCACGCCCACTTCATGCTGCTGTTCCTCCTCCTGCTTCTGCAATGACTTACGTTTCAGCACCCGCCGAGATGCAAAACCAGTATCACTCTCCCATACCAGAACTGAACCATATAGTTTGTGCTGTGTTCATTGGCCATCGCATGAGAGTGTTGATCAGAAGCGCCGTTGGATGTAGAGGTAGGAAGCTTGTCGTATGCTGCCCTTGGTCCCGAAAAGAACGTAGTTACATCGACAGTGGCACTGACAATCGTCATCGTCGCAATGACGGACGAGGACGTGCGGTGCAGGCCTCTACTGATACGCTTGCTTATGCTTTGAATTCTGCGGCTGTCCTGCCAGTAGGATTCCGTACTTAGCCATCCCATACCCCATCATCCTCCCTCCCCTCTTTTGGCGCCTCCCTCCTCCATGCATCCACCCTGTTCTCAGCTCCCTCCCCCCAACCCCCATCCCCCTCATCATTCCTCCTGCCTGCTACCCCTGCTGTAGCTCCTCCTCCTCCTCCTCCTCCTCCTCCTCCTCCTCCTCCTCCTCCTCCTCTTCCTCATTCACCAACCACCGCCTGCTCTTCCTTCTCTGTCCAAATCCGCTCGTCCCCCCCCACTCGTCCCGAGCGCGCGCGCGCGCGACTCGGCTTTTCTGCAGACTGGCAACGTCCACTGCTGACCGTGGCTCCGTCCACGGGGCGAAGTGGACGCGCTTGTCCATGTGATTCAGCGCCACAACTGCGTGGTACTGCTCGTCCTCGGCAGGAGATCGAGAACGCGATGGTACCCTGGGGGGAGGAAGAAGCAAACGAAGGGCGGAGGAGGAAAAGGAGGAATGAGAGCGAGGGGAGGAGGACGGAGAATGGGAAACTAACGGGAGGTGTGGGGGAGATAATGCCCGTGGCAAGCAAGGCACATGCACCAACCATCCCTGCTCCAGCCCCCCATCAGACAAGTGCCACCATCACGTACCATGTTCCACCCACCATTCCATCCACACCCCTGGCCCTCTGCACCACTGTTGCCATTAGCAGCGCATGTCCAACGCCTCCGCGCCAGCTCAAACCGTCGCACACTCCCCTGGCCCCCCCTCCTCCTGTGCGCCACAGGGGTGGCGGAGATGCCCCTTCTGGGCTAGCTGGAAGCCAATTGCTGGCTTCTGGGCTGGCTGGCTGGCTTCAGGAACTGCGACACACATAGCTCACAGCACGTTGATTGCACCACACAGCTCACATATCATACGTTACACAACGCAGCTTACACCACGGTTTACACACCATGTGTTCCACCTCTAGTTCGCACCACCTAGCTTACACGACCTAAGTTGCACCACATATTTTACCACAGGAAATTTGCACCGCATCACCTCAAGCAACAACGCGTCCACCAAATAGCTTACACCACATAGCTGACACCTTCACACAACAATGACGCAATGTGTTGGGCCCGCGCTGGACAGTATTATATATATATATATACGCACACACACATATACACATATGTGTATTATTTATTTATATATATACATATAAATAAACGCAAAATCATATACATATATATATATATATGTATATATATATATATGTATATATGTATGTTTATATATGTATACACATATATATATATATATGTATACACACCGACATATACACATGCATACGCATAATATGCCGTGTTGCCTCCGGCACAATATGGAGTGCCCCAAGGCTCATGCAGCACTGAGAGGGCAGTGCTGCTGTTGCAGCCAAAACTGTAAGTATTTGTTCCTGGGCGTTTTTTGGATTTCCCGGGGTCCGCCACAATCGCTCGCGTCGGCCTACCCCCCCCCACGAGGGTCCCAAAACGAGCCCAAACGGCTCCAAGAAGCTCCCAAAACGGTCACAGAGAGCACCAAGTCGCCCCAGGACCGCTCGAAGATGCCCGAGATGGCTTGAAGATGGCCGAAGAGGCCTCCGAAACGCAACAAGTCACAAGAGGCCTCCAAAAGGCTCCCCAAAAAGCAAAATCAATTTTTCTACGTATTTGAAGCGGTGTGGAATTCTCGCCTGTTCTGCTTTCCGGCGCTCTGGACCCACAGGCCTCCAACAGGCCCCGAGACGGCCCAAAAGCGCCCCAAAACCGCCCAAGAGGCGCCCAGGACTGTCCCAAAGGGCCCCAACACGGTCTCAAAAGGGGCAAAAAAGAAAGAGAACACGAACAGAAAATCCGAGCCGCCCGCCCCAGGCCCCCAGGAGGCCTCCAGAGGCGCCCAAAGGGCCCCAACAGGCCCCCAAACGGCCTTCAAGAGGCCCCAAAAGGCCTCCGCCCCAAAAAAAACAGAAAAAGCCCCAACCGGCCCCCAAGAGGTCCCAAAACTGCCTCCAAGAGGCTCCCGAAAAAAGGCCCCCCACCAGATCTCAACGACCACCCAACAGGCTTTATACCCGCAGACCAGGCGCGGTAGCGGTATGGACCGAAGGCCACTCGTGCATTTGTATATGCATATGTACCTATATGACCGCCGTGCGGGCGATAAGGAAGCTGGAAGGGGGGATTGAAATCAAATGCCCACCCTGGCTGGCCCCCAACCTGTCACCTTAATATACTATATATGTGTCTCTGTCTCTCCATCAATCCCTCTCGGTGTATCTGTCTATGTCTCTCTCTCTCGCCTTTTCTTTCTCTCTCTCTCTCTCTCTCTCTTTCTCTCTCTCTCTCTCTCTCTCTTTCTCTTTCTCTCCCTATCCCCTTTATCATAATGTCCCTCCACCGCAACAGTGATCGCGATGACGATGAATTCCCAGTATCTACCGATCCGTCGACCGACACATCGGTGGATTGTATAGGATGTGATATGATGGATTGGATAAATAAGATGGTCGGATTGGAAAAGATGGATTGGATAGGATTATACGGGTTGAATTGGCCCACATCAGGCGCAAAACACATGAATGGATGGATTGAATTGGATTGGGCTGGGTGGAATAAGGTAAGATAGAACAAAAATGGGTTTGATAAAATAAAACGGATTGGGTTGGACAATATGGATTGGATCTGATAATCTGGATTGGATAAGAAAGCCCGCCGCAATCGCCGACTAAAATAAATTGATGGATTGGGTTGGGCGGATTGGATTCGACGGGGCAAGATGGATTGGATCATATATGATGGGTTGGGGCGGGGGAAATGGGCGGGATAAGATGGATTGGACTGGCCCGCCGCAGGCGCAGATACACGTGAAATGATGGGTGGGGCTGGTTGGATTGGATGGGGTGGGATAACGAATGTTGGGACAACATGGGTTGGATAATATAATATATATCGAAGTTGACAATGCGGTTTGGATGCGATGCGCTGGATTGGATAGATAGCCCGCCGCGAGCGCCGAAACAATGAATTACGACGCGGGCGACGCGCGTTGGCGCCAGGACGCCCGGCGCGCCCGAGACACCCAGGGCGCCGCCCAACCCAACTGGGGCGCCCCCCGGCCGCCGGCGGACGGGACGGACTCTCGCTCCTGCCGGCGCTTGGGACACCCGGGGCGCCGCCCGGCCCGACTGGGGCGCCTCCCGGCCACCGGAGGACGGGGGGCGGACTTTCGCTCCCACTTCGGCCAAGCTACAGAAGGATCGCGCGCAGCTTCGCCTCGCCCGCGCGCGCGACGCGAACGCGAAACCGAAACCGATTTCCCGGCGGGGGGGGTCCGTTTTGCTGCGATCTCACCCCAAACCTCCGATCGAATTGTACGCGCACGCGTATATGTACGTGTAGAGATAGATGTAGCACATAAGTGTGTGTAAACATGGGTGCATACATTCATGCGTGTATCCATACGCTCATACACATTCATGTGCGTATACATTTAGATATACACATGCATAGACATATACACATAGTACACGCATACGTACGGGCCAAAGATTGCGGGGAGTATTCGAACCGTTGCGCTTCCCTGCGCGACCATGGGTAGGCCGCGCCAGTCAGGGCTGGCAGAGCCTGGCCAGCGCCACCGCCCCCAAGGCTGGCAGCGCCTGGCCCCGGGAGCGCCGCGCGGAGAATGCGCGCCGCGGGAGGCGCCATGGCAGGCGGACGGAGGGACGCCATGAGGCGGCTTCCGAAGGCAAGGGCGCCGAACGCTCGAGCCTCGCAGTCTGCCGCGATCGCGCCCAAGCGCCGACAAAAATGAATTGATGGATCGGGTTGGGTGGATTGGATTGGATTGGATGGGATAAGATGGATTGGGTAAGATTGGATGGGATGGATTGGAAGAGATGGATTGGATATGATAATATGGATTGGGTTGGCCAGCCGCAGGCGGATAAACAAATGAATGGATGGATTGGGCTGGATGGATTGGTGTGGGTGGGATGAGGTAAGATGGGACAATATGGGTTGGACAACAGAATATGGATTGGATTGGACAAGATGGATTGGATAAGGTAAGCTGGATTGGATGAGAAATGGCCCGCCACAGGCGCCGACTAAAGTGAATTGATGGATTGGGTTGGGTGGATTGGATTCGATGTACGATGGATTGGACAAGATAAAATGGGTTGAATTGGGAGAAACGGATCGGATAATATAAGATGGATTGGTTTGGCCAGCCGCAGGCGCAGAACCAAATGAATTGATGGATTGGGTTGGGTGGGTTGGATTGGGTGGGATACGATAAGATGGGACAGTATTGTTTGGATAATATAAGATGTATTGGGTTGGACAAGATGGATTGGATCAGATAAGCTGGATTGGATAAGAAAGCCCGCCGCAAGCGCCGAACAACAAGGAATTATGACATTGGCGCAATGCGTTAGCGCCGGGACGCCCGGGACACCCAGGACACCCGGGACACCGCCCGGCCCAACTGGGACACCTCCCGACCACCGGCGGACGGGAAACGGACCTTCGCTCCTACTGACACCCGGGACACGTGGGACACCGCCCAGCCCAACTGGGACACGTCCCAGCCACCGGCGGACGGGAAAGGACTTTCGCTCCTACTTCGGCCTAGCTACAGGAGGATCACGCGCAGCTTCGCCTCGCCAGCACGCACGACACGAACACGAGACCGAAACCGATTTCCCGGTGGGGGATCTCCGTTTCACTGCGATCTCAGCTCCCAACCTCCGATATCTCTCTCTTTATTTCTTTCTTTTGTTCTCTCTCTCTCTCTCTCTCTCAATCTCTCTCTCTCTCTCTCTCTCTATGTATGTCTGAACGTATACACACAAAAATCGCCGGCCCAACGGACAAAAGGCGTGCTAAGATCTCCGGCAACTGGTTAACAATATTTCTAGCTCGCGCGCGCCACTGGGGGTCCCCAGACGAAAAGTACCCCGGCAAGGTCCCGAGCGGTCCGACTCAGAGATGGTTTCCCTCCTGGGCGCCACCCTCGAGGCCCTCCAGAGAGCCCCAAAAAGGGCCGCGAGGCCGCCAAGAGCCCCCCAAAATGGTTCAAGAGTGCTCCGAGATGACACACGCTCGCTTTAGGACGCCCAAGATGGCTCCCAGACGCCCCAATAGGCCCCCAAGCGGCGTCCCAAGAGTGTCCCAAGAGGCAGAAATCGTCCCATTCCTTAACCAAGACGTATATTTGTTGCATATTCGCCACTGGAGCTTTCACAACGTCAAAATCGGCCCAAGAGGCCCCCAAGATCGCCCCAAGACGGCCCAAGAGGCCCCCAAGAGGGCCCCAAAATAGCCCCAAGACGACCCAAGAGGCTTCCAAGACAGCCCAAGAGCCCCCCAAGACGGTTCCAAGAAGGGGTCCAGACGGGAGATCCAACGGATATTTCGAGCCCTCGGCCCCGAGAACCCCCCAGGAGCGCCCACGAGGCCCCCGAAAGGCTCCCAAGAGGCCCCAAGAGGCCCCCAAGAGGCTCTAAGATGCCCCCACGAGGCCCTCAGGAGGCCCCCAAGACGCCCCCAAGCGGCCCCAGGAGGTCCCCCAAATGCCCCCCCCAAGCACGCAAGCAAGTGCCAGCGATGCTACAATATGGGCCGGCGGGGTGTGCGAAGCGATTGAATCAACTCTCTGAGCAGTGTTTGCACTGAGGCGTCACACTTCCCTTCTGGGGCATCGGGCCCGCTTGGGGGCCCGGCGGCCCCGCTCGCGGTTCGTCGCCGACGCACGCTTCCCAACGAAGAGTCTGCCTGCGGGCCTGGCGGCCCCGTCCCCGCCCGTCGCCGCACCATACGGCTTGCACCATACAACCCACACCACATAACTTGCACCGCGTAGCTTGCACAACGCGCCTGCACCACACAGTTACATACATATATAGGTATATACATATATATATATATATATATATATATATATATATATATATCGCACCACGACGTTTGCACCACATAGTTTACACCACGGAGCTTACCCCACGTAGACTACACCGCATTGTTTGCACCACATAGTTCCCACACACGTTGCACCGCACAACTTGCACCACGCACCTTGCACCACAAAGGCTGCACCGCTCCGGCACCACACGTCGTGCTCCGTGTAAGTTTGAACATGTAGCTTGCATCCCATCGCCTCCAGCACATAGCTTGCACCGCGTTGTTTCACATGATAGCCAACACATATAACAGGACAATGCATTGTTGTTAGCGGTCCACGCTGGCACACATGGCCCTTTTTTATAACACGTGCGTCGTCGAAATCGTCATTGTCCTCGTTCTTTCTTCCACTTCTACCATCCTCCTCTTTCGCATTCGTCTTCCTCCGCCTCCTCATCCCCTTTGCCCTTCTCGTCCTCATCCTTCTCGGCGCCTTCCTGTTCTCCGACGACGTCGGCGACGGAAGCAACGAGAGCGGAAACGACGACGGTGTGTTTCGCCTCCGCACGCCCCTCTGCGCCGCTGCCAGGGCCGACGAATGCCGGCGAAGGCCGCCGAGGCCGCGCCGCGGGCAGCCGCGGCAGTCCTCCGAGAACACGTTGAAGATTCGGCCGCAGCGGGGGCACCCGAAACACGAGCGGCCGCCCTCTCCTGGGGAGGTGGCGACGTCCGAACCCAACCCCTGCAAGCCCCCCTTGAAATCAAACGCAGGTTCGTATGCTTGGCCGACGCGCAAAACGCGGCCCACGGGGCCAGACTTGTGGCTGAAGTCGCCGGCTTCGGCGCGAACATCAAGATCTGGGGCTCTGGGGCGCCGCCACGTCGCACGACAAACGTGCGTTTGGTTTCGGGGGGGGATGTACTGACCACATCGATTCTACTGGATCGATGGGAGGCGGAAGTGGGGCTCTGATTCCGCCGCGCGTTTGGCGGATTCCGCATCCCTCCCCCGCCCCAACCGTCGAGCTGCTGGAGTCGGATCGGCACCTGTCGGGTACGGACTTCGCCGCTAACCGGGCATTTGGGTTAGGTCGGGCATATCCTCCTACAGGCGGATCTTGGATGAAAAACGAAAATCATCAAACAATATGGGAAAACATCAAAAAGTAATCGAAACATCTTCCCCGACTTTGTTTGTCACTATTCTTGAATTTCCTCCCTGTGGAGGGACATGCCCGACTTAACACTGCGCCACTCTGGCGGGGACTCCACTGACGGGCACTTTAACCAGTGACCCGGCGAACCCAATCCTCTCCAATGTGGGCAACGCTGCAGTGCCAGAAAGAGGCCCTCGAAAAAACAACTTTCGGCAATTTTCCAAAAAGCACCCGTTAAGCTCCCACGGCGTGGCAGGCGTGGCATTTCCTCGACGCCACAGGGGGTGCGCTGGGGGTGGGGGCCCTGTGCGCTGCAGGCTCCCTGGGCGTGGCAGGCGCGGCATTTCCTCGACGCCACAGGGGCCTTGACAGCAGAGAGGGTACGTAGGTAGCGTAGCAGCCTTGACATTTTCTGGAGTCTATATCTTAGGCAATATGCAGCGGTGCCTCAGGCGTGTATGCGGCTGAAGTATTCTCAGCAAGGTTAATTGTAGACACCTCGGCTCAAGCAGGCTCAAAGACAGCAGGCGCCCACAGGCATGCCCCCAAACTGTGCAGTGGCCGAATTGCCACCTCCGCGCACCATTCTCTTGAACCGGATGGTCGAGATGAGCGTCGACATTAGTCTGGCAGGACTACAAGAGTACATCGAAAAGCATGGCATGGACAGGTTCATCAAATCCGCGTTTAAGCTTACGGCCGCCAGCTTCGAAATTGGTGGCCGGACACGCTTCGCAAGAGGTATAGTGACTTGTCGGATCCAGGAACGAACGACGATGGCAGAAGGCAGTGCCTGGTGGCGTTCCTGATGGACCCTACGTCGGGCGGGTTCCCCCAGGAGGCTCATTTAGACGACGGCGGCGGCCCGCCGGCGAAGGTTCGGCCAAGGACCTTGGTCACGGAGCCTGCGACAGTCGGTCGCGGTGACCTGCGTGTGCGCCCCGGTCGGTCGCGGTCACCTTGTGAAAACACGTGACATAAAATAAGTATGTGGGGTTCTTCGGTTGCGTAATTGAATAATGGTCCGAACGTAATTCACAGTCTGCTGTTAGTAGCTAGTCGTCTGTAGTAAGTTGTAGCTAGTTCGGAGCTAGTAGGTTGTAGGTAGCAGTTCGTAGCTAGTGTTCTGTAGCCAGTACTTAGTAGTGGTAGTAGGACTACTAGTACTAATAGTAGTAGCAGTAGTAGTAGTAGAAGTAGTAGTAGTAGCAGAAGTAGTAGTAGTAGTAGTAGTAGTAGTAGTAGTAGTATTAGTAGTAGTAGTAGTAGTAGTAGTAGTAGTAGTTGGTACTGAGTACTTATTAGTATAGGAGTACCAATAGTAGTAGGAATACTAGTCGTAGTAGTAATAATACTAGTAGTAGTGGTCGTGATAGTAGTCGTAGTAGTGGCAGTAGTAGTAGTAGTAGTAGTAGTAGTAGTAGTAGTAGTAGTACTAGTAGTAGTACTAGTAGTACTAGTAGTAGCAGCACGAGTAGTAGTAGCAATAGTCGCAATAGAAATAATACTCGCGGTGGTAGCAGTAGTAGTAATCGTCGTCGTCGTCGTAGTAGTAGTAGTAATAATAGTAGTTATAGTACTAGTCGTAGGTAGTGGATATTATGGTAGTAGTAGTGGTCGTAGTAACGTAGTAGTAGTAATAATAGTAGTAGCGGTAGTAGTCGTGGTCTTGGTAGTGGTAGTAGTAGGAGTAGTAATCGTATAGTACTGGAGGT